GCACGCAGGCAGCGCCCGGTCAGCTGGCCAGCCGCCGCTGCACCAGGCATGGGCACGCAGGCAGCGCCCGGTCAGCTGGCCAGCTGCTGCTGCACCAAGCATGGGCACGCAGGCAGCGCCCGGTCAGCTGGCCAGCCGCCGCTGCACCAGGCATGGGCACGCAGGCAGCGCCCGCTCAGCTGGCCAGCCGCCGCTGCATCAGGCATGGGCACGCAGGCAGCGCCCGGTCAGCTGGCCAGCTGCTGCTGCACCAAGCATGGGCACGCAGGCAGCGCCCGGTCAGCTGGCCAGCCGCCGCTGCCCCAGGCATGGGCACGCAGCTGCTCTCCGTCTCGGTAAAAAGATCAGGAAAACCTTAAAAAATGCTTAACCGCGTTGTTTCAGACTGCTTGGCCACTGTCAATGGTCTCTGTGCGGAGTTATCTGGCACACGCCGCACGGCGTCAACATGGAGTCCACTGCAGTTGGAGCCCACGCCCGCCGCGCTCAGTTCGAAAAATGTGTGTTGCACCGCAGGAACCATCGTGCTCATGTTTAACATGCTTTTTAAATTTAATCCAAAAATCTTGATTAGATGGGGCATTTGACATCATCGGTATGCATGTTATGCAGTGCCTTTTCTGTAGGCTCCGACCGTACCACCCGATCGCGAAACTCCGGGTCAGCGACAGAATCTTGTGGCGAAAGCTGAACGTGCCGCAAATAACCCGGTACCACCCGTCCTGTCCTCCGACGAACGCCCGATCTTTAGCGCGCGGCCGCTGCCACTGGCCGCAACCTTCCCAGGCAGGCAGGCATGTAGCTGATTTTATCAGGGGTTGAGTGAGGCACAAAGGTCAAATTTGCTCTTAAAGTTAAGCGAAATTGAACGCAATGCCAACGAAATTCCCCGGTATTTAGTATAAGGCCTTTTTTGGCTCAAGGAGAGGGGACACGGCCTCCCTGTTCCCCTTCTGGGCTACGTCGCTGGCATCCAGGGAACAACAGGCGCTCCAGCCAACTGTTGGGGCGGGCAACCAATCAACAGTTCGCACGATTGCGATGAACAGTATTCTCCACACGTCTCCAATCTCTACCCCATTACAAACTCGGAACCGACCTCAATTTTTTCGGCATGCTGGACGATGAAGCGTCTACAAAAGCCGATAGGTGTTGCACGTTCGTTGATTCCTGCAGGCCTTGGCCTATCATTAATATATATATATATATATATATATATATATATATATATATATATATATATATATATTCATATATAATTATAAAGAGACCACAACGCATGCAGCTAAGCACCCTGTATGGAGTGTCAGCGACTGGACTGGTCATATTAGTGCTCAAGGAGTCATGGCGCAACGAGAATTATAACCAGAGCCTCCACGTGGGGGCCTAAGGCGTCACTCGTCCATTATGCCCCTGGGCTATGGCCTATGGTCGTATGGCAATGGGATCACGGCGGGAGCCTATGCCGACAGGGCATCAGAACAACAATATCAAACACAATTTGATACATGCACGTTCTGTACTTTTAGAACTTGACTTTTAAAATATTAAGTGACCCATGGCTTTCGTCAGCGGTTACATCAGCCCCGAACATCGTATTTTGTCTGGAGGCATCTTCGTGCTTTGAACAACGATCAGCACATGAAATAGTCAAACACTTCATTGCACCCTGGGTGACAGGCAAGCTCGCCTTCCGACAGGTGTACTAGCTTGCCTTCCTTTCAGGGGAGGACGCCAATAACTTTGGTTTGACGGTTTTATAAATTCGCTAGTAGGTAGTAGTGTTTAACATTATTGAAGTAGAATGGCATAACAAGAATGGACTCTGAATATGGTCGGAGATGGAATATATTTGCCGACTTGTTTTTATGACTTTGACCTGTTCAGCACGATCTTACTCCTATTTCTGGGGATTGGTCACTTTGGGCATCGGACAGTAAAGTGTTCGAGCCACCCTTAAAAGAAGCTTTTCTATCGGCTATCTGACTGCGCAACTGAGAATAATTGAAACAGTGCACAGATTTTGATAACTACCCAAGAGATTAGAAAAGCCAAGTAATCTGTGGACATTCCATCCATTTGTGATGCCTCGCACTCAACATCGCTCTGTCTAATTTCATTTTCTGCTACTAGGGGGCCTAGATTTTCCTTCCTCCAACTATTGGGCGTTATTGTTTCCGCGCTTTGTCCTCAGCTTTTCAGGTATATTTCCTGTACTACTTCATTTCTTTCCGTCTTTCTTGTTCTTCTCGCGCTTTCATCTGGTTGTACTGTAAACATTTGTGGAACTTCTTCCTACGAGCTTTGGCTCTGCTATTACGTTCTCCTTCTGTCCCTTGTATCTGGCGTCCTTGTGCCTGCTCATTGTAGATATTTCCCTCCAAAGCACAATCCAAACAAGATATTTCCCCTTTTTTTTCTCTGGCCCTCCCCATCTCTAATGTCTTCTCTTTAACCCCTCGCCGTTCGTCCTGGTCGCGACCAGTGTCCTCTCAGTTCGGCACTGACAACAGTGCCCGCCCGCTCCTCCGCTCGGCTCGGGTGGTGCTGGATGTCCGATGGCGCCGCCAATCTGGCTGAAGTCATCCAGGGTCCACGCGGGTCGGTCTGACTGGTCGGTGCTGGCGAACCGTCCCGACCCCATCTGGTGACGGAAGCCGTGCTCATGCCGCAGCACGGTAGACGCTCTGTCCGAGGGTGGACGCTCCATCTGACACGTCATCAGGCGGTGGACACTCCCGACACCGCTCGACGGCCGATGCTCTTGACAGCGTGAAGACAACGCCTCCGAGCTGCTGCAGACACAATGCCGTGAATAGCTGCTGACGCAACACGCTGCAGGACACAATGCCGCGAAGAGCTGTTGACTAAATGCTGCTCCAGGGCGTAGTGCCATAAAGAGCTGTTGGCCAAACGTCTGTACTGTCCACCCCATGGATTCGATTTGCAAACTTCTCCGACGCGGCGGCATCGCCTCGCGTCGGGACATTGTCATCGCAACCGGGTGAACGCCGTTCCTTACTCCAGTGCGCTGCTTTATCATTTAGAGCCGGGGGTCTGCTGTGGCCGCTGCGCCTTCTCCCACTTCTACTGCGCTATTCTTCCCGTGAACAGTTCTCATGGCAAGTCATCTGTGCATGGCAGGAGGCTCCGAAGGCGTGTTTATCCATAACACTCGCTGTTCAAGAGCGGGTGGCGAAGCGCGACGCATCATCGTTCAGTGTCGTGCGGAAGTTGTTTTTATGAAAGTTCAAAACATTCGTCATTTGTCAAGGCTGTGAACCACTCGTGCCGAGGCAAAATAGCAGAACCGCTCCGTCAGCGGCGTGGTATGCTTCGCCCAGTCATGCATTCGTTTATTTACAGTACATTTCTTGGCGAATTACAAGTGATGTTCAGTTTATATATGAGACGACTGCAGGCATGACGATGAATGCGCTGCTTGCATTGTAGCTACGGAGTCCAACCATTGCAAGATGCAATCATCAACCATAAATAGATGTTTGCAACCATTCCTGATGCTCCTTGTGCTGCCATAATGGTAATAGGCTGTGAGTATATGCTTGAGCACTGCTGCGGGCATTCCGCAGTAAAAAAGAAAAACATTCAGGCTTGTAGTTCCGCTTGCATTAAGTTTATTAGTCATCTCACTCCCCGCTCAACTGGCAAAACTGATTAGCATGACATATCAATATGTCTCTGCCATCAGTAAGTTGCCATCAGTGTGTATGTTACTGGTTTGGCAGTTCCACCGCCTCGGCTTGTTTCGCTCGTATGACTCCGGTGCTTACTCCGATGGAAAGCCGCACGTGACAGGCGTTTTTAGTTAACGCGAGGCTCGCTTTTGGGCCTGCACCGTGGTCGGGGTTTGGAGATCGGAGAGGAGAGCACCTGGCCCCGCTGTGTTAATCGCAGTCTTATGCGGAAGGGCCATGCATGCAGCCCACAACGCTCACATAGTCCCTGAAGGTACGAAATCCCCCAGCGGGCCGAAGCGCCATTAAATCCTAACCATAATCATCGTTCTTCTACCACCAGCCTTGCATTAGTAACAACAATGGTGTGCAAGTGTCATGCGATCAATATAGCTGCTGTAGCAGTGAGCGTGAGATGTGTTGGAAGGTATGCATGCATTTGCACATTGCACGTAGCGCTGTGCCGATTGCGAGCGACCGTCGCGCGCGCCGCCGGGCATCCGCCGGGGCCATCAGCCGCCTGACTACCGGGCCCGTCGACGGTCAATTAACACCAGAGGTGTCTGCGCGCTCATTAACATAACAAACACATCGGCCAGAGTTATTGGCCTCATTAGTCCCCCGATCGCGATGCCATTATACCGTTTGAATAGGATCCGTTTATCATGGCTGCTGTCGTTAGGGTTGCGTTGTAATTCGGCCCTGAGTCACGCGGCTGCATGCATGCACCTATCACACCAGCGCTGCATGCCGAAGATCTTAACCGCAATGCTTGCGAGCATTCATACAGATCTAGTCGGCATGATCCATATAATGCTAAGTTGTAAGTTTCTCTGCCAACGGCCGGCGTATTGGCAATTACTGCGATGCACTCAATCTTCTCTGCTTGGTGTCTGCTTGAGTGAGTCGTAACCAGCTCAACCCTGGCCTGTTGAAAGCAGGACGAGAAAGCCAGGATGCCTGGAGACGAGAACACTCTGGGTATGGATCTTGAGCGAAGTCCAATAAGTTTTGGATAAGCAAAAGCGTGTAGCAGGTTCTGTGCTCAACACTGAGGTCCTTGACATCCATGTCGATGCCCTTGATTGTCAAATCTTGCCTTCGTGGATCAGTTGGCATAATTATTTTGCAAGGATTTTGCACTGAACATGTTGCGCAGAATCCTAGGACTTGCGAACATACATAATGCATGGAACAAGCACTATTGGCCAGACGTGACAACTTGAGGCTCTCTCTGACTAGTTGGTAGCGCCCTCAGCTGCGGTTGGGTCGAGCATACCGCGCAATCTCGGAATTTCAGGACTCGAACCCAGCGCCAGTGAACTGCCTCATTATCGTTCTTTAATGATTCAATCCAAGCCTTTTGATTGGATGGATTTCTGGGGTGAGCGTCCACGCTAAGCAGTGCTTGTTGCGCGAACCCTGACGCACCATCGGATCACGAAGCACTGGGCCAACACCAGAGTTTTGGGCGAAACACGCGCGCATAGCCTGCATT